CCCCAAAACCCCAAAACCCCAAAACCCCAAAACCCCTTTTTAAGCACAAATTTTGAAAATTTTAAATTAAAATTGCTAAAATGGACGAGGCTATCAGACAACTTGAAGAAAATGGACTGTATGATACTGCTATACAGGTAAATTGTTAGATATTTATCCTACTAGACACTTTTGTACTTAGAAATTTTAAATTTTACACAAAAGGTGTTAATTCCTAATCTCCAACATAGCTTAAAAGAGACATAAAGGCTAATAAACTAAAGCCTTACCATGCAGAACAACTCGCTAATGATTTGATACGTGCACTGAAAAAGCTAAATAAAGAAGAAAAGAAGGAGCCATTCGCTTACCCAAGTAAACAAGTTGATCGATCAAAGGTGATCAAGTCAAACCCTGTTGACCAGAAGGTCCTTCAAAGATTTGTTAATAAAATGATGATCGCAAAGAACCTAGATCAAGCGAACAAGGAGAACTTGTTCCCAAATATTGATCATGTGAGCAACATGAAGGTTGACCAAGATGTGACTATTGAACATGAGTCTGATACAAGTGCTGTATTCAAGCCTTCCTCACTCGATGGGCCTAAGAGGGATCCCAAGTTTGAAATATACAAGAACAGAGCATATGACAAAGACTCTAGCTACCCGGCTTCTGAAAAATCTTCACTTCCTAACAAAAGTGGGCTGGAGAGCTTTGCTCATCATCCCAAGAGTCAGGTGAATACCTCCAAAGCAAATGAAAGCTTTAAAGAGAAAATCAGAAGTTCTGGGAATGCTATTGGAGGGATCCACAAAGTTGAAGAGACCTTCGTAGGGGATACCAGTTCCATCCTCAAAGGAATCGACCCTCCTGAAGAGAAGCTAGACACTTATGATGATGACGAGGACCAAGGCTTCTTTATTATAGAAGCTGCTGAGAGCGATTTTCTTGAGAAATGAAAGCTCACTGCAGCTGAGTACAACTTCCCAGAAGCTACAGTCAAACCCCCTGATGAACAAGACAAGATCTTCGAAAAAGAGCGCATGAAGAAACTTGAAGAAGAACGTAGGAAGGAAGATGAAACTATGAAAAAGAAGAAAAAGAAAGAAGCTGAAACTGACAAAGATAAACTTAAACAAGCGCTTGGCCAGGTAGATGATAAAGATGAAGAAAGTGAAACTGGCTCCGATGACTCCATCCCTACTCAGCTACCTAAGTGGGTTAAGTTCATGCCATGTGAAGATGAATTTTACCCAGCCGAGTATAATTCCACCGTATACGATTGATACAACCTCAAGGTTGTATTCGACAGAGAAAAGACTGGGTTCGAGGAGACTCGTGAGTTTCCTATTGTTACCAATAGTGTGATCGCAGGAAGGTAAATGTTACAAGTAATCTCTAGATACCAAGTCATGGAGTTCCTCGGTCAAGCTGCCTTCTCCAAAGCTATCCGATGCTATGATCTACATAAAGGTGAAGAAGTTTGCATGAAAATTATTGAAAATAACAAAGATTATTATGATCAAAGTATTGATGAAATAAAACTTCTCCGTTACATCAATGTCAATTGTAAGGACGTTGACGATGAGAATGTCATTGGTTTAATAGACTATTTCTACCACAAAGAGCACTTGTTCATCGTCACAGAGCTTCTTAAGGACAATCTGTACGAGTTCTATAAGTACAACAGAGAGAAGGAAGATGAACTCTACTTCACTCTAGGAAGACTTCAAAAGATTACAAAGCAAATTCTGATAGCTTTAGATTACATCCATGGCCTCCATTTGATCCATTGTGACTTGAAGCCAGAAAACATTCTAGTTAAGAGCTACAGTCAATGCAAGGTGAAAGTTATTGACTTCGGCTCAAGTTGCTTCCTCCATGATCATCTTAGCTCATATGTCCAGTCAAGATCCTATAGAGCCCCAGAAGTTATCCTCGGTTGCAGATATGACTACAAGATCGACATCTGGAGTCTTGGGTGTATTGTAGCTGAACTATTCTCAGGATATGTTATCTTCCAAAACGACTCCGTCCAAGGTCTCTTAGCAAGAGTTCTGGGCATAATCGGACCCATCCCAGAGTACATGATGAAAGAGGGAAAATTAGTCTCAAACTTCTTCACAAGGGAGGGAATTATTTACCAAGAAGCAGGAGATGGAGAAAATACAAGCCAAAGTTTATCTGAACCTTCTCATGATAAGAAAAAGAAACCTAAAGGTGATGGCTCTATTAAAATTAACCTTCTTGTACCAAAGCAAACTAGTTTGAAGCACAGATTACACACAGATGACCTCATGTTTGTTGATTTCATAAGATGTCTGCTTCAAGTAGATCCTTGTAGAAGGCCTTCTGCAAAGGAAGCACTGGCTCATCCATGGCTAACTGAGACTAAATATCCAGATGATGATTAGGATTGACTTAGAAACTTATCTTTGCTAAAATTCTCAATTAGTAAATTTTTCCGGGGTTTTGGGGTTTTGGGGTTTTGGGGTTTTGGGGTTTTGGGG